TATACCTAAAATTTTATCTAAATTAAAAAAATCTATGTCATGACGTAGAAAAGGGGCTCAAATCCACCAGTTATTCCACAGGAGAAAGATGGGCAGCCTCCTCTCATGTGATTTACAGCCTCTGAAAACTTGCTGGAGGCTCAGCTGGGAGCTGATTCTGAATCAGACACATGACAGCAGCAGTGTGTTAGATGTGTTTGTATTATGTGCCATCGACTCAGAACCTACTCATAGCTGACCCTCCGGCAAGTTTCCAGAGGCTGTAAATCACGTGGGAGGAGATCGCCCACCTTTCTCCCAGGGAGTACCCAGTGAATTAGAACTGCCTACCTTTAAGTGACAGTGCAAATCTTCACCCACTAGGCCACCAGAATACCCTGTGTTTGAGTCATGTGCCCAGGTTCAAGAAATGGCAGATACTTTAAAATTTTGACCCCATACTGTCTAGTGCTAAGCTTTGCAAACAGATTTTATACTTTCCAGTTTCTTGTCTGGCCTTGGAACTGTGCTGTGGGGACTATGTCCGCTTACGCTGCTTAAGGAAAAAACTGAGGGTTGAGGTGTCCTCAGAACCAATTGTTCACTCAGAGTCCTTGCCTCATAAGGAATTAAAAACCTAAAGCTGTGTTTGACAAAGAGCTTGCCACGGTGACGCGTCGCAAGGAGGTGAACCACACTCTGGTGGCTGAGACTGTGCTTGGTTCAAGTGAGGGCTCCACTCAGAGTTTTATTAGGTAAAAGATGCTCCTGCAGCGGAAGCTAAAACAGAAAGCAAGGGACAGGGTAAGATGAGAATGCAGGACAGAGACCAGAGGAAGAGGGGACCTCTAAAGCATTCTTTTTATTATTATTATTAATTTTGATGAAAATTTACAGAGGCAGGATTTCCATTCATTCATTGCTGCACTTTTCTCCCTGCCCACCCCTCCCCCTCTAAAGCATTCTCTCTATGGTTCTGTTTGACTCTGTCTCCCATTGGTGTACCTACCATGTGCTGAACTAGGCAATTCCTACCTTTTTTACACGAACTGAATGTTCTCATTGCCCATCAGGTCTAAAGTCTTGTCTTTTTTTTTATCTTTTCCAGGGTCGTCATGTTAAAACGGGCCAGCTTGCAGCCATTAAGGTTATGGACGTCACAGGGGTAAAGTATTTTTTTTTTCTTGCTATCTCTATAACTATATATTTGTAATAGAGAAGATAGTGATAGAAAGGGAAAAACAAGGTGCACTTAGCGATGCTGGGGAAAAACATTTTTAATAATATCTAATATCTAGACCTCTAATATCTTTCTCTACCCATGCATAACATAAAGAAGTAAGAGTACTGAAAGCTGGCAGAGAAGACCGTGGATAAATCGCCCTAATGAATTAGATACCTGCCCAGTGCCTTGTGCAGTTAGAGTGAATAATGTGTTGATAATTTGCATAAACAGGGCCACTGATATTTGCATATGAAAGGAAACAGGCTTTTCAAGGTATTAACAAAGTAATACTGAGATTACATGCAAGAGATGGGTCTTAACAGTTTCCCCAGAAGGTTCATCTAACACTGGAGTAGACAACAACTTGGATATTTCCAAAATCCTAGTGGGATATTTAACGTAGTATTTCCCAATGTAAAATATTAGAAACCAAATTATCACAATAGCCACAAATTCTTAAATAATAGAGCAACACAGTTTTTGGCTGGATGACCAAAAGAAACAGCAAAAATAGTCTTCATTTTTAATACAGTTCAATGTTTTCAATCTTTTTTGTTAAGCCTGGTTAAAATATTTTAATGCCTTTTTTCGAGTGTACAGAGCAGAAATCGAACTTGAAAGGACTCACTGGACATCAAAGGGATGTTAATAATTTCCTCTTCTCCTGGGGATTTCCCTGAAGTTATCTGTCTACTGTACATGAAAGCTCAAAGTCCAGTCTTTAAGTCAATGCAGAAGTGGAATATCTACTATAAATATACGTTGAATGAATGGATCACACAAAGGGATTAAGAATTAGTATGTGGATGCAAACAACACACAATGTGTTTGTATGTGAAATGTCTGTCTATACTCATTCTGCCCCAGCTTATTAGCTGTGATGAATAGATCTCAGGGAGCAGTGTTGGCATAGACTATAGAGATTTGCATTGCTGACTCAAAGGCAGCCCTTCTCCGGTGGTTCAAATCCACCAGCAGCTCTGTGAGAAAGATAGTCTCCTACCATTAAGATTGACAGCTTTGGAATCCCAGCAAAGGGTCAGCTCTGAGTCAAAACGGACTCTTGGGCAGTGAGTAAGTGAATGAAATGTTATGTGGTCTATTTAGCTGTCATAAAGCCACGTTCAGTAATTTGCATTTATACCACACGTTATACCGACTTCCTTTTCCTTACTTACTGCTAATCTTCCACTCACAACTTACCTGAATTTCTCATTAAGCTAATTTTTTTATATTCTTTTATGCATTACTGTGTGGCTAAATTAGTACTTCTTTCTTTTATCCTGAATACATAATTCAAATTTCTAAATTCGCACACCAATTCAAGTATTTAACCACCTGGTTGGTTTAGTAATTTACTGGAGAATTAACGGAATTTAAAAAAACAAAACAAAACAACTAACATGAGATTATATGACTGAGCTTTTAAGATCCATCCCAGTAGAACATGAAAATCAAAGTAACAGGATTAAGAATGTTAGTGAGTGCCTGTCATATGGGCACGTGCTCCATCACTGGCCAGGTGGTTGAGAGTTTAAGCCCAGTTAGGGTGCTCCAGAACACGTTCCTGGCAGTCTGCTTCTGAAAGGTCAAAGCTTTGAAAGCGGTGAGGGACGGTTGAGCTCTATACACATGGGGTTGTTATGAGTCCCAAGTGGGTCGATGACCGCTAACAACAAGTTTGATGGACGGGGTCTCCAGTTGGCACAGTTACGTACTTGACGGCTAATGAAAAGGCTGACAGTTTGAACCTCCCCAAAAGCAGAAGGGCCTGGCCGTCCATCTCCCAAAGGTCACATCCGTGAAGCTCTAACTCTGCTCTGTACACAGACAGTAATGGAGAGTTTGCATTGATTCTGTATCAACTGCTTCCAGATGTGACTGCTCTACATAGCGTGGAGTCCCGTAGGCCTTTAAGTATTGGTGACACAAGTTTGTAGAAGTAGGTTTGTAAACAAGGTAGACGTTTCTTTCTGTCTTATGTTAAAGGAGTCTAAGGTTGGCATCCAAGCTCACTGTGTGAAGTACAGAGATGTTTCTCCCTTTGTGCTCCGTCATTCTAACACATGGCCTCTTCACTTAAGGCTGCATTAGAGTTTGAGATAGTTGTCTGATTTCCACTGATCACATTTTATAGCAAGCTAAAAAATGGGGGGGGGACATTATAACGGCATAGAAGAGTCCCTTTGTATGTTTTACAACATTTTTTTGTTAAGTACAGGCAAGCAAATTTGTGAAGCATTCCATATTTTTACACAATGACCAGGGTAATACAGACAGGTACATTAGAGACAGTGAGATTAGCTCTGGATAGGACAGGGTTCAGAGCTAGTGTACATAGGGTCACTATGAATCGCAGGTGACTCGATGTTACATAACAACAACTTTTATTGACTATCTATGAAAAGTACTGAATATCACATGGAATATGAATTGTAACCCACTTGACAGTAACTAACAGCAACCACAGACTTTTAGAAAGTTTGACCCAGAGCCAGATGAGCATTTCTTTTACAGTTCTGCTGAAGTCATGCTGCTGTCTTTTCTTCGGGTTGAGTAGGATTTCCACATAATGGAATGTTCTTGGCAGCGTAACAGCTAATGGTGGCCGATGGAGTCTATCACATTATCTCTGTACATTATCACTTCCAAAAAACAAACTGATCGGTCTTGGAACAGTGCACCGAAGTGCGCCTTGGAGGCAAAGATGATTAGGCCTCATCTCGCATCCTTCGGGTATCTTGTTAGGAGAGCTAGTGTCTTGGAGAGGGACGTCATGCTTGGCAAGGTGGAGGGATGGTGAAGGAGGAGAAGACCTACCAGTGAGATGGACTGGCCCAGCGACGACAGCAGTGGGTTCAAGTGTGTTAGAGATTTCAAGGGCGGCACAGGATAGGACAGGGCTCAGAGCTATTGCTCAGAGGGTTTCTGTGAGTCACAGTTGACTCCACATCACATAACAACAACAATAGGTGCAAGGAAATACGGTTTTATTCCATCAAGTTAAAAATCTACGTCTATTCTTCAAAAGAAAATAAACTATAGATATTCTATGGTCAATGAATACAGTCTGGCACAAGATTGCAGATGAGATATTGTCAGTCTTCACATCGAAACCCATTACAAAAGAATGGCTGAAGAAGTGTTGTCCTTGAATTGTAGTGTTTGGGAAGAGCATTGACACTTCCCTAGACTAAGTCTCATAGACTGCCAAAAGAGTAAACAAATGTGTCTTTCATGAAGTACAACCTGGTGTTCTTACAGGCAAGGAAGCTGAAGCTTCTCTCGTATTATGGGAATGACGAGGGGCTATTCCTTGGGAAAAGACATTACACATAGAAATGGAGAGGGTCAGTGAGAGGGAGGAAGACCTTGAAGGAGGTGGATTGACGCTGTGGCGGCAGCAGTGGTTTGGAGCATGGCTGAGGGATTGAGAATGGCACGAGGTAGAACAAGGTTTTGATCCTGTTGTTCGTAAGGTAACTATGAATTGTAACCCAGCTGATAGTACCAAACAACAGCAACAGCAGGCCTTTTAGAAAGTTTCACCCATAGACAAGTGAGCATTTATTTTACAGTTCTGCTGAAGTCATGCTAATGTCTCTTCTTCAGATTGAATAGGGTTTCCGCTAATGAAATGCTCTTGGCAGCGTAACGACTGTTGTTGGTGGATGGAGTCCAAGACGTCATCGCTGTACGTTGAGTTCGAGCATGTGGTTCTATCATAGACTGTAGTTATGTCCCACTGACATCCTTGATCTTGTAAAGTCAGTCCACAAAGGATGATCTGAGGACAGGGAATGTTTCCCTTCTAGTTTTTAGGGAGATTTGGTGGGACAGTCTGTAGAGAGTTGCGCTGTAAACCCAAAGACATGCCTCTTCCAACCTTCGAGCCCACCCACTGTGAGGGATGAACACTGTCTGTCTGTCTGTTCCTGTGTGATGAACAGGCTTGGAAATGGGCTGGAGGGTCGTCTTATCGTCACTTCCACCTGAAGAGTGAGGAGGGGAGTCTCTGTGAACTGTGAAATACTGGGAGAACCACACTAGGTTAGCTCACCCGGAATTGAGAAAATTCTGTAACCTAAAGATTAGACACTTTCAGGGAGAAGTATGATGCTTAGTCTTTCTAAACCCTGCTTCTCCATAAAATTCAGTTCTGTAGAAAATCATTGACTGTTTGCTCAGTTTAACCAAGAAAGGTACGGATTTATCAAAGATGCTCTGAGAGTTAATTTATTACATACAATGAAGGCCTTATACCACTGAGGCTTAGCTCTTCAGAGGAACCATTGTTAGGAAGGGTCTCAGTGGTTCCTCTGATTTAAGCACTGCACTGACTGACTGTTATGGAATCACAGACCCTTAAACATGACAACCATGAGTAACACATAAAGAAATAGTTATCTTGTCTCCCAAGTATCTGAACCAGCATTACGGGACTTTTGTGTCACCGCTTCCCACATCTCAGTCTTCATGATATTACCTCTGTGAAATTCGTGAGGTGCCGTAGAAAGCAGTGCATTTCGTTTTGCTTTGCTGTCTTCTGTGTCTTCTCGAAGGCTGCAGAAACTCCTTCCCAATTACTCTAATTGAGCTCATTCCAGCTGTTCTGCTTAAAATGGAGATAGATTCTCAAAGGGCTCTCTGGTAATTGTGTGCTGTGACCTACTGCAAAGTTGCTGTTGTGTTTTGTCAGGAAACTGATAAAGCCAAAAGGTTGAAATCAACTTTTAAAAAATATCTCTCTTTAAAAATCTATACTCATTCTTGTTCCTTTGTTTTGGGGGCGGGGGAGAAACAGCCATTGGATATTGTTTCCCCCACCTCCAGTTTGAAAGCTGAGACTTTTCTTTAATTGGTCAACTAGCTAAGAATTCAGGCTGAAATTCAGACTTGGCCTCTGACATGTTTGAGTTCCTGAAATCTGCGGGGACGTT